TAATCTCCGTAACAGTCCTCGGACGCTCCCACTGAATCACAGCCTCCACCTTGGCTGGATCCACTACAATCCCCTCTGCCGATATCACATGCCCCGAATCTCACCTCAGACAATCAAAACTCACTTGGACAGCTTGGCATACAACTACCTCTCCCTTAGTACCTCTAAAACCAACCTCAGATGCTCACGGTGATCCTCCAAAGATCTCAAATACACCAATATATCATCAATGAAGACCACCACAAACCTGTCCAAGAATGATCTAAAAATCCTGTTCATGTAATCTATGAACACTGTTGGAGCATTAGTGACACCAAAACGCATCACTACGTACTCACAGTGACCATACCTATTCCTGAAAGCAGTCTTCGGTATGTCACTCTCTTTTACCCTGATCTGATGGTATCTGGATCTCAAATCAATCATCAAAACACCGAAGCTCCCCTCAGCTGATCCATCAATTCATCAATCCTCAAAAGTGAATTCTTATTCCTTATCATCATCTTATTCAGTTGCCGATAATCAACACACAAACGGGCCTTACCATCATTCTTTACTAACAGTACCGGGCACCCCAAGGAGAAACACAGGACTTCACCATCTGTTTCTCCAACAAATCCTCAATCTGTTTTTTCAACTATACCAACTCAGCTGGAGCCATCTTATAAGGTGTCATTGATACCGGTCTTACACCCAGTACCAAATCAATGCTAAACACAACATCACGCACAAGTGGCAATCCCGACACATACTAGTACAAAAGAGGTATTCCACGTCGGTTAACACTATCAACTAATTACAAATTTATTATATATATATATATATGATAATTTATATTTAAATATAAAAAATTACATTATCATATTAGGTGTATGTTCTTCTTTCCTTAATTTTTAGTAATGTAATGTAAAAAATGTATAAAATAAAATAATCACTTTTTAATTCATATAATTATAAAATTATTATTATAAAAATTAACCATTCTTTAATTTATTTTACTCGAAGATAAGGAGCGAAGGATCCAAGCATAAAGAAAATAAGGAACAAACGTAATGACGGCAAAATCTCCTGCAAAGCTAGCTAGACTACAAAAGGAAGAATATAAAAGAATCTAAAAATCTAAATCTGAACTGCATTAGTCTCTCCAAAAAAACAATAAAATCACACACACTATCATGATATCTCCAGAAAGATATGACAAGAATCTAAGATCCAGCTTCCTTTAGCTTTCGTGATTCTCACTCAAGATATCGAAAGTTGTCGAAATTGTAACTTTATCTATAATATTATAATAAAAGAGATAGCATTTAATGTCAACATTTTTTCCTTTTAATTATATATATTATCTTTATTAATAATACAAATAATTTAAATAAATTTGTTACTTTTTTTTTCTTCCTATTTTAACGAAGATATATAATGCTTTTTTTTTTTACCAATAATATATAATGAGTTTGTTTCTGTATTATTTTTTTTAGAAAAGTGATTTTTAATGAAATAAATACTTATATACGTTTTAATGTATTTATCTTAATTTATTTATTCATTTTAAAATAAGCAGTTTTTTTAAGAAGTAATTCTGCTACTTGAAAAGTTGTTTTCCAAAAAGTACATTCTGTAAGTATTGTTTTGGACACAAAATGAAGTGCTTATAGACCACAAAGGAATATAGAAATGAATTGATTGCAATGATTCTATAAGGAATTAATACAATAATGTAATAATTTGTGTCTTATACGATATTCAGATTTTTTTCTTGGTTATGCTATAAATTTAAATAATATATATCGG